ATGCAGGACTAGGATCCACCTCTCCACAAACCCTGCAAATTTCTGAGATACTCAAGTGTGCCTACACATAAAAGTGTGTAGACAGCAATCCCTACATGCCTGCCCACCTGGCAAGGCTACAGCTGTGCCTAGCTCAGTCCTTTCAGTCTGGCTTTCACCCTGTAGCCTCTGCATTTTGTGAGCCTTTCACAGGACTGGTGAGTGAGGCCACTGCTGGAGCTGGCAGCTGTGTTGCCAAGGTGAGCAATACAGGCACCACTTTGACATGCTTTTCATTCAGTGTTTGCATGTCAAGTCTCATTAGCTCAACCAGAAAAAGAACACTAACTGATTTTGATCCTTTCACATCCTTTTCTTGTACTGTGGTAACATGTACCTTTGACAAGAGCAGGTCTAAGGAACTACAGGGCTTCCTAGCTAGCATCCCCAGCCTTGTGTCACTACTGAGCACTCTGCTTCCAGAGCAGAGTGACATTTGGCTGCAGCTCGGAACGTGTGCCCAGTGCCTCTGTCAGTGTGGGCTGCCTGACCTGGCTCTGCCTAACAACACCCACATCTGACCATTAGTTGCACACTTAGCGAGACTTCAGGGCACCTTAGCCAAGAGCTGTTGGTCCTCTAACATCTCATCAATGAATCCAGAAGAAAAAACAGGTTTTTCCAGAGTTTGCTGGGACAGAGTCTTGGGATGGGTCAGCCTAGTGCTGTGCTGCCTCTTGGGCCTCATGCTTCCCTGTGGCACATGCATGCAGAGAAGAGCATGGTACCAGGAAGGACACTTGGTCAGAGCCATGTTGCAGCCAGTGACAGCTACACAAATTGACCCTGCTAGAGGCCACAGCTCTTGAAGCTACAGGTACCCGCATCTGGAAATAAGCAAGACCTTAAAAGAGCTTCCTCTTGCCTCTATACTGAAGGATGTATAAAATACATAAATTAAAGAAAAAAAAACCAAAACAGGAATATAACCACATTAGCTAAGACCAGCATGACAAAGCATTTATCAACTGCTAAGTCCTGGCATGGTGAGGCCATCTCACCTCCCTCACCCACCATGCTGCTCTCTCCCACTGTGCTGCTCTCACACTACAGCACCAAGAGGACAATCACAGGGAGCCAAGGAGGGGTGACAGACTGTGAGCTTCTTGTACTCTGGTGCTGTTTCTTTCCTCGACATCTCTTTCCCAAGTGCCTCAAGCACCAATGTTGTCCTAACACCTGCCAGTCCAATCAGAGAACTTCTCAGACATCTCAGAATGAACAATCGCTCTCTGGACCCATGACACCAGAGCCCTGAGCATTTTTATAATTCAACAGTGATCAAAGAAAACTTTTGATCTGTTGATCCAGTCCTGAGACATCCAGAGCTCTGCAGTCTACTAGTAGAGCTGCCTAACAATAATATCTCTGTAACTGAACCTTCAGACACAGATTATAAACAAATTCAATGATCACAACATTTTGTGTCTTCTTTATGGTCATGGTCTGACAGCGTTTTACTGAAGGTTTGCTCAACAAGTCAGTTCATGCAATCCTGGCTCCAGCCTCCATTGATTTAGTTTTACAGCAGCATTGTCCCTCTCCACCTCTCAGATTTAATTTCTTAGCCTGTGTCAGCAACGTATTTGATAAAATTATTGCTGGAGTATCAAGTATTGGAAAACCCTTCATCTAACCAAGTGTATTACGGAGTTCAGTGCTGAAACTGCCTGAAGGCACTTTGTGGGATTGATTTCCACAAGGGTTTAGTAATGATTCACTGCTCTGCAGGGCATCCCACCTGAGTAAAGGATTAGCAGGATTCCCCAAACCCTAGCACTGGGCTGTCTCTCTCCCCTCTTTGCAGCCCCTGAGGGTCATTTGCTTACCATCTCTGCCTCACAGACAAAGGCAGGCAATCCTCTGTCCTCCACAGATGACCACCTTCTACCAACAGTGCCTTTCAAACATGCTCCCCAAGGAGGAGGATTCCCACAATGAAGACTTCTGACAATGGTCAGAAAGTCTTCCTGAGAAAAGCAGTTTGTAAATCTCAGGTGAAATATTCCCAAAAGCAGAAAGTACTGTCAAGAAGTGCCTTTTCCAGCAGCATGGCATGAATACTCCATGGTCTAACTTGTACTAGCTGTTTATGATAGAAAGATGTCCCAGCAGATGTGAGTGAGCAATGGCTGCCACAGTTTAGGAGGTGGGTCAGGCACAAGCCCCTGCTTTGCATGTGCAAGGGTGGGAGTTCTGGGTTTCCCCTAAGCAGCTGCCCATGCATCCACAGAGTCCCTGGGATGGAGCCCACCACCATACCTGGCAGGCCAAGGGCTGCTCTGATGAAAGCCTTGAGGCCAGTCAGGCCTGAGCACTTCAGGTCACTTCAGCCAGTGGCATCCACACACATCCATAATTTGGAGAAAACATACCTGTCATGCCTTTCCGAAGTCCCCAGCCCAACTACAAGCACTTTTGGCATGAGTATGGTAACATCTGCTGAAATCTCATGTTTTGTCCTCTCAACATCATCTGAATTAATGTATGTCACAGTCCATGCTGCTGAGGAAACAAGTAAAAGCAATGTGGTTGCAGAAGAGTAGGCAGAGTGGGTGAAGGACCCACATGCCAATGAGCTGCAGCTCCCTCACTGAGCACACAGACTTGTTTTAGCCAAGCCTGATGATGTCCCAACAGCTGGTGTAACTCAGCATACCTCTGCTCTAGATACATCACCAGCGCCAGTGGTCAAACGCTTGTTTCTCATCTCTTCAGCAAAGGCACTGGACAGACACATCCCCTTCTGAGCTCACAGAGAAGGTCCATGTGTTCAGAGTGGAGACTGTGCACACACCTCGGCCAGACTCTTGCACGTGGTCCCAAGGACAGAAGTGCCCTTTCCAGTCCAAGGAATGCAAGCAATCATGGGTATGCAGTTAGGTATGAACCCAAAGCAGGGCTTCAGAAGGTTTCTTGTGTAAATCTTCCATGCTATTATTTGTCTTTTGTTAAAAAAGATGTGTATCAGTAATTAATTGCTGAAAGATTAAAAGTGGCACTCATCTCACTGCTAAGTTTGTCTCAAAGCTAATTTCTAGGTTAGCTTAGAAGACTGGCTAAAATTTCTGATGGGATCTGTGAACAACATGCTGAAATGTCACTGAGCTGGTGGGACGTGGCTGCTAAGGATTGGAACACTTCTGCCCTGGAAACTTGGAAGTGTTGACTGCATTTCTGTACCATGAAAAGATGCTACTGGAGTGGGTGAGGGAATTTCTCAGTAGATAGATGGCCACTACAGATACCAGATATGCAGCACAAGTGATGACTTGGGAAGGGAGGAGAGAGAATAGTGTTAACACAGGAGCTGCCAGAGAAATGTTTGTACAGCTTGAACCTGGTGAATACCTGCTTGAATATTCCTCTACAGGAGTGCCTCTGAAGTTTGACACCAACAACCTTTCTCCTGCAGCCAAGCACCAACAGACCCCTCAGCAGAGCCCAGACAACTCTGGGTGGATGAGGATGGTTGAGTTGGGAGTAAGGAGCCTTCAGCCAGGTTTTCGTCTCAACAGGACCGGGGAGCTTCTCCACTACCCCCAGGAGGGAAGGGATGGGGTTATGCCCATCGTCCTTATGTGGCTGAGGTTGTCTTTGCCTTAGTCTGGGGTAGGGGGAGGCTTCATGGAGACATCAGCAGTTTTCCTGGCTCCATGGAGAGGCAGTGATGGATGTAGCTGCTTAGTGGTCATTTGTAGCTGCTCTGCTCTCATAATTTAGCCCCCCACAAGGTGCACATTGAAACATGTGACTATTAGTGCTTCCTATTCGATAGGAGGGAAGAAACATGGAATTAGCACGGCAAAATTCCCCTCGGTCCCCACAGGACTACAATCTGCAATGCCTTCACAGAAATGTACAGACACCTGGAAACAAATACTTTCTCCTTCAGCTTGGCTTGGAAAGTGAGTGCAGCTGCCCTCATGTCTGGTACACCCTGCTCAATACATGCGCATAAAAATCACAACCACAGTATTTCTTTGCCTTCCTCTCAGGGTTTTCATGACTAGGATTTAGCACACAATCTATACAGATATATGTAAGGTGTCAACTGTTATTTAGGAATTCCTTCCTGGGTGCTGCTTAACTTGAAACCAGTGAATTTGTTTCAGTGTTTAGTATGATGACAAATGAACATAAAATTAATATTAAGCAGTAAAGTATCACAAAATTGCCTATGTCTTTCCAGTTGCCCATGTGTTTGATACCAGCATATAGCATGATCACACACAACTGTCAAATAAGATGCTCTATATAGAAACAACATCAGCCAAAATACAGCCACGATGAGTGTTAACCTGGTTCAAAGTTGCTTAAAGCTTACTGAGTTCTTTGAATCAGTGCACCAGTTTCAAAACACACTTTTGGATGTGTTTTGAGTTCATACTTGTACAATGTTGCTGTTTATGCTTAAGCTACTCTTACAGTAATACAAACAAGCAAATATTTACACTGGTGTGCTTGCGTAAAATTGAGCAGACTGATTTTTTCTTTGCCACACACAAAACAAAAAACAAACAAAAAAAAAAATAAAAATAAAATAAAAAAAAATAAGAAAAGAAAATTGCCTTGAGTCTCACAGCCTGTTTCAGTGTGCAGCAAGAGGGAGCTGTCCCAAGGGGAGCTGCTCACACCTCTTCCTTATCCCCAGATACAGCCATGGCACCCACAGGCGATTAAAGCAGTAGCCAGCCGGCTGCGAAGAACATGAAGCTACCACACATTTTTAACCACACAGAGCTTCAGGAGTACCACTTCCTCCTGTTTCTCTGTTTGATTCAGGACCCAACCAGATTTAAAAATACAATAATCAGTTCAACAAGCTTAAAGAGCAAAATTTCAATTATGATGTTCCTACTAGGTACTTTCTCTTTCCCTTTTGGAGTGGCTGGCATGGTGGCAGCAAGATGACTCGTCACGGTTGTCCCAGACATGCGTGCTGTCAGTGCCGATGCCCTGAGCTCCGGCGTCAGTGGCGGTCATAGGCAGCAGCAGCAGCTGGTGCAGCTGCTCCACGGGCTGTGGTGCTGTAGTAGTAGGGGGAGCCTGTGAGAAATGAGACCACTGTGAGGAAGACAAAGATGGAAAGGTGCCAACTTGCAGTGCTCTGACAATGGGTGTCAGAGACCTCTCCAGCAAAGCTTCAATAAAGGTTGGGTAAATAGAATGAAAATTGCATTCATGCATTCTGCATGAGAAGAAGGCTACCATTGCTTTTCTTTGTTGCCTGGTGTTTGATACCTTCTTCCATTCCTTCACTCAAAAAATCAACTTCATTTACTTCACCAAAAAAAGTTAATTACTTTTCAGAACAGGAAGTCAAGATATTCCAACCCCAACACACTACCATACTCTGACTTCTTTAATTTTCTGCCCGAAAAGCATTAAAGCATTAAAAATATTTCAATGAAAGCACTTGTTTACAAGAAGAGGCCCAAAAAATATCTCTGTCCTGCACGGTTAAGCACTGGTAGATAGGATGGTTACCCAAGGATCACCAGGAACCTGGACTATTTGTTTGAATGAGGAAGAGTCTTTGACTGGTATCCAGAGAGAGACCAATCTGTCCAGCCAGCACCAGTTTTAAGAAACCTTCCAAGCACACCTACAATGAAACCAATTCTGATCCATCCTAAGAAGGGAGTCTTCTCTCTTCAAGGTGCTACCAGTTTGGTCTGCAAGTCACCAGTTGCACATGCATGGGACGTAAGGCACATCACAGTGTGGAAGAACTCTCCTGGAAAGACCTGTACTCAGCCACATGCATCTGAGACCATCAGAGAGGTTTGGATGAGCAACAATGAGCCAGTGTGAGTAACAGCTCTGGAGTAGTCAGGGCTGTAGGGTTTTCATGAGTGGCCCTGTCTGAGAGCTGCCTTCCATTCTAAGCTCCCTGCCTTCAACACACATGGGACAGCAGTCTGTCAGACATTGTCAAGGGTCTTCACAGTCCTGGGTGCATCTTGCTGCACAGGCAATTTCTGCTGCTTCAGTAACACAGAGGAACTGTCCCCACCAGGAAAAGGTGATGCCACTAGAGCTCAGGGGACTGTGGACCCCTTAGGAAAGCATCAGTGGCAGTGAAGCCAAAGGTGCATTTTTTGGTTGTTCACTTCCCATCCCAGACTCTAGCAAGGACTGCTCCTTCAGATCCAATGACTGCCCAGCTCTTGGGCATAGCCTGAGTGAGGCAGTGCCCCAGTTGTTCTACCACCATGGCCCTACACAACCTCTGGAGCTGGAAGGAGAGCCCAGTTGGCATGCCTTGTGCTGTTGGTAGCATGCTCTATGCTGAGCACAAAGCCTTCCCCTCTGTGAGGCTGGAGAACCTCCTGCCACCTCCTCTTGTTGTACAGCCTCCAGATGAATGCTTTGCTGTTCACTCCAAAATGACCTGAGTGATTATTTGAGGGCTGCTGGTTGAAAAGCCCAAGAACAGAGTAAGAATCACACAGCCAGACTCTTAAGGGGAGGCTCAGGGAAAGTTGCTGTTAACCATTGGCAAAATGCAGGGCTACCTCACTACTGCGGATCCAGCAGGATCAATCTGACAGGCAAGCCCAGCTGTTCTGTCTAGGCTGCTTTTGTCCAGAGTGCCACATCAGGAGGTCAACTCAGGCTTTACCACCAGCCTTCAGCTTTTCATTTCCAAGGGAGTACAAGCTGTTGCATCCAAAAACCAGAGCACAGGAAGCATTTGCTCTTGCCCAGTATGTGTAATACGCACAGTCATTCAGAGAAGAAGACTTTGTCATGATCAGTGTCCTACCACAGAATATGGTACTCTGCTTCTGCAGCCCTGAGGGGTCAGAAACAGGACTTTGGCTACTGGAATGTGTCTCCTGCACTGTGCTGTGGCAAAACAGGAGCTAGTACACAGTGTGTGGGTCTATGTTGTCCTCAGTTGCATCCTTAATGACACAGACATCCAAAACCAGACAAACCCACGGCAAAGAGCTGGGTTTAAACAAAGCAAAGCAATCTTGAGGAGTGTGGTCCTAGCTGACTAGAAAGATAGTTTTACTGTACACAAGAATAATTCAAGAGAGCTCATGAACTGACTGGCCAGGATAAACACTTGCAAAGATGTCTGTATACAAACTCTTAGGCAGGAGCCAATCTGACCTAGATTTATTTACAAAAAGTTAAAATATTTTAAGCCATAGCCAATATTGTTAAAGCAGGTCCCTTCAGCAGGTCATCATTCCGTTTGTTTGCACAAGCGTAGTCTTGTGTTATCTGCTGAGGGCACCACAACTGCTACCCAGGGTTGGACAGGTAGTTTTCTCCCAGGTAACTGACATCAGGTTAAGGAGCTCCAGCCTCAGGAACTGTATTTCCTGGAGAATACTGAAAAGCTTCACAAGGACAGTGAAAACCATTCTCAAGGGTAGAACAAAAAATTCTAAAATTAAATGCTGTATAGTTCGTACCCCAGCCAAACTCAAGCCATTGAAAGCACAGAAACTGGTTGAATTGGCCACTCTTGAATGAGCAAAGGCAGAAGTTAATGTGCATTGAAATGTGCATGCCATGTCTAGCTGGGGTTTTGGGGATGTTCTTTGGGGGCTGCCCTCTTGGCGTTGTCCAGTTTGCCGGCCCATGTCCCCTCACGACCAATCCAGCTGCACAGATGTCCTTGGGGATCATGGCAGGCAGTACCTTGAGGTAAAACAGCTCACAGGCCAGTGAAGAGCCAGGTGGAACTGTTGTCCTCACCCAGCACCAGGAGGTCAATATGAAGCAGGCAGTGATGGTGGTCAGCAGAGATCCCAGTCCCCCCAGGCACCAGCACCAGCACTAGCCATGGCAGCTCAGCTCAGGCGGAGGGGTGAAAAACACACAGGAGGAATCCAGTAGCACAGACCAATTTCAGCCTGACTCATGGAGCATTGTGTGGGTCCCACCAGAGCAGGATGCAGTGCTTACTGAGGTTTTGGGGTAAATGGGGTCTTTTGGGGGTTAGAGCCTTTGTTTTCCCACTCTTCCTCCACTGCTGTTCTGACTCAATGGAGCTACAAAAAGCCCAATATTTCTCCCATGCATTCCAAAGGCCTTGCATTTCTCTCAAGTTAGATTTTCCCAGTTTGCCTTTCTGCTGAACAATCAAAGAAGCTTGTTTTTAAAGTGAAAAATGAAACTACTCACTCTTCCTGTCACCATGCCTCCATCCAGAACAGACTAGTCCATCCTTCTGTCATTTTTCCTTTCTAATTCATACTATCATCAATTTATTTCTTGACACAGTCATTTCTAGTGTCTACTTGTTCTCTAATCTTTCCACAGAATCCCACAGAGGAATTGAATCTAATCCTAATTGAGAGGCTCCAAGCTCTGCCTTTGCATGATACCTTGCCAGAACTGGCAGACATGGCACTGCAATGGTGTGGCCAAACCCTCCCAACTAGCGCACTGGGACCACATCTGCATGTGAGCAGGGACACTGCATCAAACAGAACCCACAGTGCACAGGACTGAGCCAAATGCTACAAGCCAGCACAAAAGTGAGTTGTTTTTCTTCATTAGACAGTGTTGCCGTTATCTGTCCTTAGCATGCACATGTTGAGCTGATCCTATGCTGGTGTGTACCAGTATGTGCCAACAGTAGTGGCCTGAGCCTGAGACATGCACATTTGCCTCCCACGAGCTCATGCACATGCCTCCATGTGCATCCCTGAACTGTGCTGCTTGCAGGTCATTCGCAGGACAGTGTGGGGGAAAAAAGAAAGGTCAAGTTCCTTCCCTCAGCTCTTTGCCTGGCTTTGAGATGGAAACACCTACTTCAGCCACTAAGCCGCACACCCAAGTGGCCAGGGTTTATGTCCTCTTGCCAGCACATTCCTCCAGGATCTTCGGATCTGTCCTCACTCTTGCTGTGGTCGAGGTGGGACTGAGTCATCCCCCACAGCAAAGTTGATCATGTCTCTGACTCCAAGAGAGGTGACTCCAGCTGGGTGCCACCAGGGCTGATGCAGGATGCAAGAGCAAACTGACTTCTTCTGCCCCTGCTTCTGTTCACCATTCTGGAGGACCATGGCTCGATTGTCTGCTCTTCCCCAGGAGCCATGGGGCACAGCATTTGGGACTGCCCCAGAGAGGAGGGAGCACAGACCCCCATCTGCACTGGTTTCATGACAGCTGGGGCAGAAGAGGCTTGGTGCCTGGTGCAGAAAAGTGAGAAGCACCAAAGCAAGGGCAGAGCAGACAGCAGGGGAATGGTGAGGAGCTGGTTTTCTGCTGGGGCCAGACAACCAGTTCGCAGGAATATGGTTATGCCTTCTCCTGAACACACCACCTCGCACCACTCCCTGCTGCTCCACACATATAGCACAAAGATTGTGCTATGGGACTGAAAACCAAAGCTTTCTCACTATTCTCATCTCTCTCTCTTTACTCTCCCCCAGATATAATTTTTCAATCCAAGTATCCTTTTTTCCACTTGCAAATCATGGTAGTTCTTTTTTTGTGAAAGCTTCTCTTTCACAGTCTCAGACTTCTGTGATTGCTGTGGTGCAATTCTTCCTTGCCAGCACAGGGAATTAATTGAACGTAGGTGCTGCTAAGTGCTTACAGTATTATACTTTCATCTCAGTGAAAGGAGCAGGACTTTGTAAAACAAACTGTGTCAGGCAATGTACCAGTCCTGATTAATTTTGTCAAGGTTTCTGCTCTGAGGCCGATACTGCCAGAGCTTGTTCTCAGGAGAGAATTACTAAATGCACTCACGTATACTCCTGAGAGCAGTGGAAGCATCCTGGATATAGTTCAAATTAACCTATTCTCCACTGCATGTGCCCAGGCTCATCGCACAGCACCTCCTGGGTGTGCAAGGAGACTTGGGGCAGGTTCTAAAGTCCCTGCCAGAGACTCCTACTTGCCCTAAACTACCAGTGGGATTAGGAGGCACTAGGTAGAAGGAATTCCAGGATCAGGCTTCCAGTGACAAAGGCAGAGCTGTGGAAAGGGGGGATCTCTGCAAGGCACAAGAGACATCTGACCCAGAAACTGTGGTTGATTGCAGACACATTCTAGATCAGATCATACCACTGTATTTGGACCTACCTGTGGTCAGACAAGGGGATTTCCCTCTCCAGGAAACTCTCCAGTTCCCCCCCAGTTCTGTGACAAGACTTAACTGAAATGGTAAGTTCATCTTTAGGACTTGCTGCAGAAAAAAAACCTTGCCTTTCATTTGTTTGTTTGTTTGTTTTTAAGTGCTGAAACAAATTATCTTGAAGAGGATAAAAATAAGGAAGCCAACCAACAGGAAAAAAAAAAAAAAAAAGAAATAATCAGCACTGATATAGCATGAAACACTTCAATCTCAAGAAAGCTGCAGTTTCTGGAAAAATATGATAGCCTCTGATTATTTTTGCCTTTGTCTCATTTAAACACATGTTCACAGCATGCTGCTGAGTAAATACTTCTGAAGAAATTTCCTTCAGCCTGAGAACGAGCTTTGCTGTGAGGAGTATACTATCCCCATAACTGCTCATATGTCAAAGATTAATGGGAATTTGCCCCCAGAATGCATGATCTAAAAAGGAAATGAGAAAAAGAGGATGACTGCAGAAAAAAAGGGAATGGCACAGGTAAAAGGTCCTGGCAGCAAGCAATGGTCTCATGACCAGCTTTTGTCTGAAGTCTTCTACTGACCCAGACCTACCCATCTCCAGCATCTTCAGGGCATCACAGGTACCTACCTACTTTGCCCACACTCTGGACAGCATGCTCAGAGATGGTACAGGCCCATCACCTCAGATAAAGAGCTGAGTAGGCCATGGGTGCAATCTGCTGCAGACAGAATGGAAGGACCACTGCCCACACCTGTGGGGTTGCTCAGGAGTGGCTCTGGGATGGCTCCATATAGTGTGCACACCCTTCTCATGGAGGTGAATATCCACCAGCAGGAACACAGTAAACAGCCCAGAAGCCTCTCCAAAAGCCCTGTCTTCATGCAGAAGGGCAGGATGAGAGCTGAGTTGTCATTTATTTTTAGTATCATGCTAATTTCTTCAACACTTTGGTAGGAAAATTTAAAAAGTTACACCAAACCTGGCTTTTCAGGCCTATCGATGATGCAGAGCATTGCTGAAACAGCTTTCCTGATGCAAAAGGAGTTGCAAAATGAGAAATGAAGAAAGCATGGTGTATGCTCTTGCCTCTGGCAAAAGCATCTTCTCCATGCTGCTCAACCAAAATTCTGCCAGCACCACTGGCTGTGGCCATGGAAACAGCAGGTTTGAGCACGGGGACTCCCCTGGCTTTGTGCAGCTATGCCCATCCATATTAGCTGAAGATCTGTCTGTTGATTTATGATGGAAGCGGTAACAAACCCTTAAATGTGGCACAGCAAATAACAGCATTATACCAGCACCATGGCATGAGAGGCAGAGGCTGTCTATTGCTCCCGAAGGATTTGTTTAAGGACAAGAACCATGATGAATACTGCCTGGGTGGCTCAATTACATGGGGACTCAATTACTTAAAACAAAGAAACTGGATGAAAAAAGTACAAAAAAAATTCAAAATTATTTCGCTGCTGGAGGTCACATATAACAGCCCTGTCATCCATAAATCTGGAAATCTCTAAGGCATGCTACTCCTGTGTTGAGAGATGACAATTAATTGGTATTTTACTTACCTCATCCATGCAAATTATGCAGGGAAAAATTCTAATTACTGCATGCTACATGTATATAAGGTCAAAGTGGGCCAGCTTTTGACGGGGTGTAAAATGGATTATGTTTATCCTTCACATGAGGGCCATGATCCTGCAGGAGTTACAGGGCTTCTGCCTCCCATTGCTCATAGGGACTATGCTGACATCAGTGAGGCTGTACCAGTGGTCCCTTGCTGAGGAGAGATGGAATGGGAATACACACAACTGGGAAGCAAACACAACACTAAGTTAGGGAGAAATGCAAAGCACATGCAAGAGCAAGCAGCAATGGCATAGGAAGCAGTGGAGCTTACAACTGGCTATAAGCAAACTGGCACCACAAGTTTTGTCTGAACAGGGTGCCTTAACCTCAAAAAAATGGCTTTCCAGTAATACCTTATGTCTCTGAAAGGATTTTTATCTGAAGGAGGAAGACATTTGGGGCAGGTCTTCTTGTTGGCAAAGTGAACCAAAAGCAATTGTGCAGCCCAATGGAGTCCTGCTGTCCCATCTGTGTCTAAGCATGATTGAGGACGAACTGGGACACACATTCTGCCCACCCCAGGGTTGGACAAACACTGGACATGTTGCACTGATCTCTCAAAATAGGGACGAACACTTACCCAGGAGTCCAGGGTTGGGAAACCTCCAGGAGTCGTTGTATGTTGAATATTGTGGGTGGCTGTATGGGCTCCCAGAAAACTCGCTCCCTAAGTTAAGGAGACAAAGACAGAATAAAAGGTCATTTGATTTGAGATGACAGTTACCATTCTGACGTAGAGGGGCTCTCCAGTGTGTGCTTTGCTCTACTGGCAGCCACAGTAAAAGCACTGCTAGACACTCTGCCTTGAGGAAGGGGAATATGGGTGGGTAAGCTATTAAATAAATGGGTGCAGACATCTTTTATGTGCATTTTTTGTGCTACAGCCAAGGCCTCCTGAACGTGCTGCAGGACCAAGGAAATGAGGAGGGATGGAGAATCCTCTGGGACACGCTGATGGGGCTGGCCTTTGCCTCTCCAGCCCTAGAGGACTCAGGGTGATAAAGTCTCTGCTGCAGGAGAAGATGACCCAGTCAATTCTAGATACCTGTCATGGAGAACATGGTCATGGTCCCAGATATTTCTTCAACACTGTAACCCAAGCAGAGGGATGTTTGCATCTGTTTCAGATGGATTTGAACCCTCCAGACAAAGGCACAAAAAAGGCTTGAAAAATTATGTCTATTTATCTCCTCTTTGGGTCCAATTCTTCTCATCTGTTTGTTCTCTTCACATGTCACTGCTTCATACTGCAGCTGCAAGCTCTTTAGAACAGAGCCTGCAGGGCTCTGACCTGGCCCTTCCACCATGCAAATACCAACACTGCTACTATTTTATTAGGAAATGTTCATTGAATTACAGATTTCCTCCTCTCTCTCTCTCTTTCTTCCTCCTTCCCTTCACCCTCCCATCTTTAAGACACGTAAATATATACAAGTACAGCACAGCATAGCAGGAGAAAGGGTATGTTTCCTAAGGCATGATTTGAGGGCTGACAGGCCACAGCAGATGTTTGCCATGACCTTTGCCTGCTCTAGTCCTTGGCATTGGCACAGCCACAACACCAGACCCAGGAGCTGCCATAACCCCAGCTAGGCAGTGGACCCCTGACACTATGTCCTCAGCACCTCAGGCTCAGCATTCCTGTCTCATACAATCCATAGATCCAACCTGGAGACCACATCTGGGTCCCCTGGCCAGTGAGTGGCCATGGCTTAGGCCATTTGCTGGCACACTGGCCACAGGGAAGAGGGGATGATGCTCTGGTAACCAAAACATAGGGTCAGGTCCAGGATGGCTTGATCTCCACCTGATTCAGCTTCAGTGAAAACAAGCTGCTTCTCTGCCTGCATTGCAAGATGAACAGACCGAGTGTGCTGACAGCAGGACCAGCCTATCACTAGTCTGCTACAGGAAGTCTCTGTTAGCATCTCTCCCTTGTTTCTTTTCTGCAGCCCTTCTGACACATAAGACTACACTTACCAGGATCAACCTACTCTCTCTCCCCACCACAGCTTCCACAGAGAGAATGTCCAAAGTCTTCAGCAGCAAGTATTTCCACACTGTTGTTGTGCCAACAACTCTTTGCAAGCTCAGAGTAGGTTTTCCTTATGGCCTCTAAGGAATGGCATTAATTCACCCTGACCCAGGAAAACTGGAGCTATTTCAAACCTTTCTTCCCAGGGAATTACACAGTACCTACAATGCTTCTCTGCTCCTGTCCCTATGGATGATAGATTACTTCAATGCCTGAAGGTTATCTCTGTCAGAGTGCTAGATCCTAAAAGAGTAAGGCACAGCGGAGTTGACAATGCCCAAAGAGATGTTAGGAGGCACTTGACATACTGCAGCCACTGGCAAGAGCATCCCCATTGCCTTCCACCAGTCAGGGATCCATCTCTCTGCTGCAGGACACAGCAGCTTCTCTCTGGTCCTTTCTGCCTCTGAATCACCACAATTGAGGCTGTTGCCTTACCCAGTGTCCTGCCTGTTTCTTCCCTGCTTCTACAGCTCCTCTGCTGTTCCAGCATGTCTCTGGCCCAGACCTGGGTTTCTGGTGTTTGCCCAAGCCTGCAAAGCACACAGGCAGCAGTCTGTCTGGGAAATTCACTTGTGAGAGTCACAATGTTTCCTAGTCCTGAAGTCATGGTCACATTCTCCTGTCAGTGTGTGGCACACAGAGATCTTCTAATCCTATGGGTGCTTCTTCTACAGGAAGACTATCACACAGCACCTTCCCCAGGGGTTGCATTTTTTCCTCTCCACAGGGAAGTGATATTTTCAAAGGTTTCGCCCTGGTTTTGTTCCACAAAATGGCTGTGATGCCTGACTGGCATGCCACAAAAGCAGATGGAAGTGAGTCTTATTTCTACATGCTTCCTGAGAGCTGTGCAATGCAAGGACACAGGGACAGAGTGGACAGGACAGCACGACAGGCCTATATCCCTGTTGTGGGCTGTTTGCACAGGGTGCACAGAAGAGGTGTCCTGTCCCTCGTGCACCAGGAACACCCCAGACCTGAAATAAAGCTCACAGTGAGCTGTTGCATGCCTGCAAGAGCTTCATCCCAAGGGGGAGCATTCTCCCCTTGGACAACATGACACCTAATTTTTCAGCTGTCCTAGAACTCTCCTCTCCCTCGATCCCTTCCTCCCTCCGTCCATCCCTCTCTCCCTCCCCTCTTCTATTCTCCTGGAGCTGCACAGACCCAGCCCATTCCATGCTGATGCTGTGCATGCTATGGAGAGGGCAGCAGCACTTTCCAAACGTTTATCACTGCTACAGCAGGGCTGTGGGTGGGAATGGGCTGACATTTCATTGTTTCATCCTCTCCTGTCTTGCCCTCCTCCCCCACCATCCCCACTGCCTCCTCCCCACACTCACATACAGACACACATCCTGGACCCTCTCTGGGGGATGCTCCAGTGCCTGTCAGGCTGAGGCTTCCAATTCTCTGTTTTTTATGCCTCAGTGGTCAGGGTGTCAAGCTCCTGCAGTACAGACCAGCCAGAAGCTCGAGGAGTCACTGAGCACCATCAGCTCAGTGACAGTATTGCTTCCTTCTTAACATACTCTGCATATCCATCAGCCTTGCCGGGGAGGGGGGGAAAGGGGGGAGGG